CCGGTATATTTATTTATTTATTTTATTAAATTTTTTTTTTTTATGGCGAGATATAAACCCACAATTCTGTGAAAAAAAAAGCTAGAATTGTGAGATACACATTCACAATCATGAGGAAAATACAGAATTGGGAGATAAAAAGTCGCAGTTACCTTTTTTATTTTTGTGAGATGTAAACTCATAATTGCAAGAAAAAAGTCAGAATTCTGAGTTTATGTCATGCGATTTTGAGTATATTTCTTGCAATTCTAATTTATTTTTTTTTCATCAGAATTTGATGAAAAAAGTTCAAATTACCTTTATTATTTTTTAATTTGTGGTGGGAAAAAAAACTGAATCGCAAGATATAAACTCAGGATTACAAGATATAAACTCAGAATTGAAAGATATAAATTCTGGAAACAAAAGTCAAAATTGTGAGATATAAACGTTTACAGTACCTTTTTTATTTTTTAACAGAATTGATAAGAGATAATAAACGCAGAATTCAGAGAAAAAAAGCCAGAATGGCAAAAATGTAAATTCAGAATTCTGAGGAAAAAATTTCAGAATTACGAGATGTAAACTCGAAGAAGTCGCAATTACCTTTTTATTTTTTTTTTATTTCGTGGCGGGAAAATAGTATTTTTATTTTACATTTTTTTTTAAAGATAAATTTGAAATAAATGGAAATATAAAAGCTGCTTGCCACAAAACAATGGTGTCATATCCATGATACCCATAATAAAAGCAAGCTCTCTGCAGTGTGGAAACAGCCTCCATCCATCACACTGAGGCTGTGGCTCCAAGCTAAAAGCACCTCCACCGGCTGATCCGAGTATCATAACATCCACACTAATTACTGGCGTCTGAGGCCCAGGGCACAGGCTGACCTCAGAGCAGAACTCACATTGCATTGTGACCTCGATGATACAGTTCTCCTCTCCTACATCATTGCTGGCGGTGCACTTGTAGACCCCGGAGCTGTCCTGCGTCAAGTTCCTCAAGGTCACGATCTCTGGGTTCTTCAGATCTGAAAACAGGAAATAATACTTATATAACTGTACATACACAAGCTGGGGTACAACCACAGTCTATTAGGTAATTAGGTAGATGTTTTGACAATTGTAATTGTTCATTTCATGAGTGATAACATTCAGGGTTATTAGTTAACTACAACTAAAACCATACAAAGCTTAAATTACTTGAAATTAAATAAACTTTAACTGAAAAAAAAGACAAAACAAAACAAAATTACTAAAAACAAAATGTATAAAAATTGCAAAAATACTAAAAGTAAAATTAAAATGAAAACAGAAAAAAAGATGCAAACTAATTCAGATTAATTAAAAAAGCCATACTAATGATATTCACAGAAACTACAATATTATCTCAAACATACTATCACTGACGACACTTATTTACCACATTAACAAACAATGTCTTTTCTCTGAGAATTGAAACTTTGTGAACCTTTTTGTGTATAATAATAATAATAATAATAATATACTATTATATATAACATAGCATAACATAACAAACACAACATATAACATGACATAACATAACATAACATAACATAACATAACATACCATAACACATAACACATAACATAACATAACATAACATAACATAACATAACATAACATAACATAACATAACATAACATAACATAACACATAACACATAACATAACATATACCATAACACATAACATAACATAACATAACATTTCTATGTAGGCACTATTCAGTATATTATCTTCGACACAATACAGAAGAAACAATCTAATGCTGCTTCCGTTACATCACGACTTTAAAGGGTTACAATCACCACCGGTCCACTAAGAAGAATTAGCTCTTGGTGTGTTTTGTCATATTTTTAAGCTTTTTTTCTTCTTTGTTAGTTTTCGTGTGTATTGTGTTATGTCCATTGCTCAAGGACACAATGCTGATGAAGCAGGATTATGAAATGAGTAACTCTCCAGTTCTTACTCACCCTGGACCTACAAAAGAGCGTTAGCAGTGTTAACCGTTTTTACTACTTCCTTTACTGCACTACTTTACAGGCTTCAATCAAACAGAGTGTTTTAATCAGGGAGCAAAGTGAGAGCGAGCCCAGCGAAGTGAATGAATTAATGTTTGTGCGCGTCAAGGTGATTCGCGGTTCTGCTGAATTCCAGAGGATGAGATGAACACTAAATGTTTTCCTGTAGCCGGTGAGAAAGCGCTCGTGTCCTGAGAACTGAGAACCTCAGTGCGTCTTCAGCCGAGGAGCGTTTGTCAGCCGGAGCGATTCGAGTCGCCGGGATCATTTACTCATCCAGGATCCAATGCCTCCTCTTTCATCCCTGCATCCCTGTCCCATCATCCTTCTCTCTCATTCACTGTCTGCTGTGAATTCTGGGGCGGTGGAGTGTTTATCGGCCAAAGAAAGCTGATTAGAGCGAGCAGGTGGTCATTGATGAGGCTGGTTAATTGTTGAGTTTGGGTGAGGGTACGGTCCGTCTCTTCTGCAGCATTGACTGCATACGACTAAATAGATTGTAAAACAATATGGTGCTCTGATGATCTGGTGTCAGCAGGAGAAATCGCTCTGAATCACTGCATTACTCTGTCCCATCTGCAAAGCCATATTACACTCGAATTTGTGTAGTTCTTGCACTTTTGTTGTTCCGTTTTCCCAAGCAGAACTGAATGAGATTGAATTCTAATGTAATAACAGCCAAAGGCCATTGAACATCTTCTATTGCTGTATATTATTATGTATTCGAGACACTGTTTAGTCATTTATTTTTAGCCTACCCAAGGTCCATATGATGCATTCTAGAAGTGGGCGAGGTGTAACTGAAATCTGTAATTCTAATATCATTGTTTATCACAGTAAAAGCTTATTTTATAATATAGTTTAGCTTGGAAAACTACCGTTCAAAAGTTGAAGAAAGAAATGAATGATTTTATTAAGCAAGGATGCATTAGATTGACCAAATGTGACTGTAAAAAATGATCTATTCATCAAAGAATCCTAAACTGAAATAAATCCTTTAACTGAATTAAAATAAAATTATCAATTTGCAAAAAAAATAAATAAATAAATAAATAAAAAAAAAATCAGCAGCTAGTTGCAATGCAGAATTTCTCAATTTCAATCAGTTTAACTTGATCTACTAAATTAAAATTCAACTGAAAAAAAAATAAATTAAATTAAATTAAAAACAGACAACAAAATGACTAAAAACTACATTTATAAAAAAATACTACAACTAACATTAAATTAAAAAGTAATTAAAATTAAGTAAAACTTTATTAAACATTAAAGTAAAATTAAAAACTATAATAGTGTCTCAATCACACTAAAATAATCCTTATGACAATTATTTACTACATTCTCAGCAAACACCATATCTAAGGAATGTAAACCTTTTGTGTATAATAATATAATATAATATACTATAATATATTTTAATATAATACAATAAAATATAATATAAAATATAATATAATATAAAAAATGTTTTGTTTCCACAAAATGCTGAATATCACAACCATTTTTAACATTTATAATAATCAGAAATGTTTCTTGAACACCAAATCAGAATATTAGAATGATTTCTGAAGAATCATGTGACACTGGAGACTGGAGTAACGATGCTGAAAATTCAGAATTGCATCACAGGAATAAATTATATTTTAAGATATATTCAAATAGAAAACACAATATTTAACAATATTAAAAATAAATGCAGTCTTTTGAATGCGTTTATTTAAAAAAAAAATCGAACCTTTGAATAGAACTGAATCTACAATATAGTATGTTTGAAGGCATGTGTGACTGCAAATCAGTTGATTTGAGTTGATTGAGTAGATTATGCTTGTGTTTTCATTTGCACCGCATGTACTGATATAATAGCGCCCAACCCTAATGCATAGAGGCTAATATCAATAGAGCAGATGAGATCTAATCTCATTGTCTGTTCGCCACACAACATCTGCGATTCAGAGTGCACAGGTTTAATCTGCAACAATCAGCACTTCTGTGCAAAAACTACTCGATGCATTTGCTAAAGTGTGTGACGTTCATGGCATCAGATCTTTGAAGACTATTATTTGAGACAGTCAGCAGCAAGTGACTGCACAAACCCTCCTCTGTCCAGAATAAGGTCTGGTACGCTCTAGTCTTGTTTGCGAGGCTTCGGGGTGTTTGACTCACCGATGAGTGCGAAGGGAGGCAGTTTTCCCACGCTCTTGCCCTTATCCAGAACTCTCTCCCACTTGTAGTGAATAGGGTCGGATCCGTCTGAAGACTTACAGCTCAGTTTCACATCACTGCCCTCCAGAAGCCGGCCTTCCATCCAGCAGCGGGGTTTAGACGGCTTCACTGTGAACAAGGAAACAAGAATGTGTGTTAACGTTAAGTTTAGTCATTTAATATTTATATCCAAAGTAGCTTACTGTAGAAAGAGTCCACAGGTGCTTACATGCTGTTTTCATTGACATAACAGCGACACTTCAAGGATCAACACTTGTGGTGTTTAAACCTACTACCATTTAGTTACAGGTCCAGATTTCTGATGGCTAGGATACACCACCTAGTGGTTCAATGACAGGCATCCAGAAAAATGGCTGTGCTTTTGCATCAGGGATGGTGCATTTTTAGCATGAGACATGAAATAAAGAGTGTCATTGTTATAAATGAAATGCGAAATGTAAAAATGATACATTTAAAAAATGAAAAATGTAAAAACGGAACTTCCTATTGAACACAAACTATACATATGACACTCTGAAGCAGTATTTCAAAATTTCAGATGAAGCTGAAACTTACAAACACAGCACACTGGCAGTTTGTGGAGAGCAATCAATATCAAAGAGGCAATCAATCTGAATTTGGGGAGGCAGGGGTCAGGATTTGTTGTCCTGTGCACTGACTGCTTTAAACTCCCCTCTGACATTACACAGCACTTCTGAATCAACACAGAACCCAAAGCAAAGATCTCACTGCCTCACAACAGTTACCAAGTGACCTCAGAGCAGTCCCACTGGCATCCTGCTTACCGCAGCACTGCTCTAAACTGTTCTGGGGTCAGTTAGACGGGGCTGTCCAGAGGGATTTATTTGGAGGCTGAATGGCAGTTAAGAGACAGCCTGTAGACCTCTGTGGCCCCTTTTGGCCCTACTGACCCTGTCTATAAACACACAAACACCCCAGAAGTTATGTGTTACTGCTAGTGTATATTTGTCTTTGCTCCATAGCCAAAAAATGTTTTGACCAGCATGGACCAGATATATGCAACAATTGAAAATGTGGAGGTACATAAGTACATACAGTATAAATACAGCGCCATTTTCTACAAAGAGATTCTTTTAAACATGTAAATATTATTGAACTGTATGCCTGGAAACAGTCATTATTATTACTTTTGGTGCCTGAAATAATTACACTCTTGTAGGATGCGGTCCTCATTTTCATAAAATAATCAGCGAACAAGATTTTTCACAGCTTCAGCTCCATATTGAAAATCAATGGACATGCGGACGGACTCCAATTGAAACGATGCCCATTCATTTATCACTGATTCAAGAAATCTAAAGAAACAAGCAGAGCTTAGAGTGTACATTGTTGCAGGCAATTTATTAAAAATCTCCACAGTGTTGGACCCATATCCTAGTGATTAATGCATGTGTGACTAGTGTAATTTACTGGGGCTGGTTGCACCATAATATTTATTGCTCCTTATGGACATATACATATAACATTATTTCCCAATTAAGTATCATATTTCAATGGAAACTTAGTTTTACACTCAGAAAAACTGAAATTCACTCACAACTCCATGAATTTCAAGGCTGGGATTAAGCATTACTTAGAACCTACTAGCTACATTCTGCCTTAAGAACCAATGGTGCAACCATTTACTAGTGTTGGGTCCAAGTACACATTGTCGAGTCCGAGTCCAAGCCATAAACCAATTGAGTTTGAATGTGAGACGTACATTAATGTCTTGTTATGTTAATGTTATGTTGTTACACATGACGTGGATTTGTCTGTACTCTGAGTCCAAAATGTCTGAGTCCCTGTCAAGTTTGAATACAAGTCCATCTGAGTGTGTCCGAGTCTGAGTTCATTCATAATTGCAGTCCAAGTCCAAGTCCAAGTCCCCCAACTCTAGTAGTTACTAAGCCTCTGGTTCTAAATTAAGTAAGAACTTAAGAACAACCGGCCCCCATGATCATTTCCTGTCCACTTTCAATTGCAAATTTCGATAAACTGGCAAAATACAGGCTGAAAATAACATCATAATGTGAACACTAGCTCTCTGTAATGTGTTTATAGAGTGACGTAGAGGGAATAGAAAGAAGAGTAGACAGGGGGTGGAGAAGGGGGATTATTGGAAGGCAGTATTGAGCTAATCTTCTATGAAATGTTAATAAATGAGAGAAACTCTAGGGTGGAGGCCGGATTTACATCAATCCATCCTCCCATTTCTCTCTCTCTTTCTCTTTCTTTCAACTTTACGCCAATATCCTGTCCCTCTGTGGCTAGCGTACTAATCTGTTAAAAAAATGACTTAATAAAATTAAGACGTGATATACAACTTCAAACTGCTCGGCATAAGCTGCAAGCCCTTGAAAATAGGGACTATGCAACAAGAGCATATGATATAGTTGAGGCTAAATAAAAAGCAACATGTTTCTTTCCAGTTCTTGTCTTTACTGAGAGCTGTGGTGTCAGAGATACAGCAATTGAATGACGGCTTGGGAACCCTGCGGTCTAATAATGGAAACCAGACATAGCAAAATATAAAATCTTAAGAAGCTCATCTGAACCGCATTTGGGATGACAGTAAACTGTTTTGCTAGAAGAAGAGAAATCGCATAATTCTGTCTCTTCTGTTTTTAAGAGATACAGCTCAATCAATGTTCCCTCATCCCACCATTTCAAATTAACATCCTCTCCATTTACCATCCAAAGTGAAGCAAACATCACCAGCCACCAGAGTTGAGAGTGTCTGGCCAGCGAACACAACCAATCCTATTTCTAGATTATGTCAATAATGGCCAAATTTTGTAATCTGAATGATGATCAAATCGAATCACAGCGAGGCTTGCTGATGGAGGAAACAATTGGGCGCTGATTCCAGGAAGATGAGCCTTACCCAGCACAATGAGGTTGACTTGGCTCCAGTGGTATTTGCCGCCAGTCTTGACCTTGCAATGGTATTCTCCAGAGTCAGTCAGCTGGAGATCGCTAATCAGGAGAGAGGCGTCTCCTTTCAGGTAGTCGCCCGCAAAGGACAGACGACTGGCATGGTTGTCGTTAGTGTAGATCTCGTTGTTGAAGAATGTAATAATCTGAAATGAGAGAGACAGAACTTTTGTATAAATATAGATGAAATAAATCAGTAGAATCAGACACCATATTTCAGTTGATGCCAAAGAAAATAGCCTGAGCGGGATTCAAATACATGCATTACTCGCGGATGAAACACTGATCCCTCCACAAAGTTCCAGTGGAAAAACTAAAAAAAAAATTGTATGAGAATAAAATTTCATTCAGAAGCACATGTTGTGTAGTACTTCTATCCATCACAACCTTGTTTTCATCCATGTCAAATGAAATATATCTACTCTGATTTAGGTCTATCATACTAGACCCCTAGCCTTAATTATTAAACTCTGGCATGTAACTTGTCTCCCAGCATTTGTGCTAGAGGTACATGAATAATAATTCAAATCACGTGACTTTTGGAGGAAAGGGGCACTATTAGTTTATCAGACTTATGGTTTGTGGCTTAATGGATAAAAAAAATCTAGAAACCTGAATATCATAGAAACCTGGGGTGGATTTTGACTTGGGCCAACAAGCAACCACCTACAAACCACCCACAACATCATGCTGAACATTTAAACACCTCGGAAATGTATAGCAATTCCTTCACACGCACCTAAAACACCCTAGCGATGACCTAGCAACACTAGCATCCACATAGCAAAAAAACACAGAAGTGCATTAGAAAATATCCAACCCCCCTAAACCCCACCCTGAATACACAAATTGCGACATAGCAACATGCTAAAAACACGTCAGAAACTAATATTAACTTATATAAATAGATATACTGTAAATAGGTAGATGCCACATTTGACTGCTGCAGACATGTGGACGTGTCTGCCATCTTGGAGCAGACAAAGGTTCTTCACTCTCAGTAAATTCAGTGAGATGTCACAAAATTGCACAGCCTCAGGTGTAAAAGCTGCCAATATTTAAATTCCAGAAGACTACTTTTTGATTACTTTTAGATTACATTTGACCTAAAATATATTCCATTCTTTTTTTTTTTTATCAATATCCTGAAGTGTATTAAACATTACAGTATACTAGGGTTTCCCAAACTGGGGTTCCTGAATGAACTACAGAGTTTGTGAGTTGATGAATAGCTGTATAAGAGCAGTAGAATTTTAGAAAGGATAAATTTAAGAGAGAGAAAAAAGAAGAATTAGGGCAAATTAAATTATTAATAATTGACTGCCATAGTGTGAATAATATGTAATAATGTAATCTATACAAAAATAACTGTATTCTGATTATGAGCGTTTTAAAATGTAATATGATCTAATTATAAGTACTTAATTTTTGGAATCTGATTACATAATCCAGATTACATGTAATCAGTTACTACAGTTACTAACTACGGTTGCAGTCAGCTTGATCTGCTTGATCTGTTCACTGACCTGCTTAAACCATTGAAATATGGCATAGCGGCTCATAGAAACAGCCGCTAATGAGGAATCTATGTATATATTTCTATGGTAATGCCCTGGCAACTGCTCACAGCAATCTAGCATTGTAGCATGGAACTTTGAATTGGAAAGCGCTCTCATTTTCCTCAGAAAATGTTCACATCTAGTTGTTCCCTTATTTTTCATCTGATGGGTAATTTGCCACAACTGTACTACTCCGTACAAAAGACAAAAGGGTTTCTAATACAAGAACCTCTACCTGTACCTGTGACTGCCGTGGAAAAGATGCTAAATGGCTGTCACACACAAACACAGCTGCCAACACACACATTCACACACAGTTTGACGGTGACAGCCTCCTGAATGCCTGGGGTAAAGGACTAAACACTGATGCCACTACACATCAGCAGACCTGCGATTGGGTCCACCTGCCAGAGCCGTCCGCAATTGCTGCTCATCTCACACACACACTACAGCGCGACAGACATGAGAAAACTCTGCTGCACAACTGAATTTCTGCTGCACGGCAGAAATCTGCATTTCTGGCAAAACATCTGTGATTCTTATTGTATGCATTCTGCATCACTGACAGTCATAACATGATGCTCTTTGTCATATTTATTTATTTAGATTACAATTGACAGCAGGAAAATCTTCTCTAGCATAATCTTCTCGAACATGAGTAACATCTGAGTCACAGGTTATGGCTTCACTTCAAAGAAAGAGGTTCTGTAATGTTAGCAATAGCCAAGGAGGTGCAATATAGCTGGAGAGAGTTATCCATTAGCATTTCCATTCATCACAATGGCAGCTGCATGGATGTCGTATGGAAGTTGGCTGTGTGACCTGCATGCTACACAGTACTACATGAACACACAAAGTCAAAGACCAGTGTGCATTGCTGGGAAGAAGAAAAAGAAGAAGAAAAAAAAAACTCCTAAGTTGTTTTCTAGTCTCTCAGTCTGGTCTATTAGCCAGTTTAAAGGGTTTTTGGGTACTTTTTAGATTAGTAAGCTGGGAGACCAGCTTAAATGAGCTAAGACTAGCAACCACCTAGCAACCGTCCAGAACACCCGAGCAACTGCCTAGCAACCACCCAGAACAACCTAACAACCACCTAGCAACACCCGAGAAACTACCCACAACAGTGTCAACTGCCTAGAAACCACCCAGAACACCCTAACAACCACCTAGCAATGGCCTAGAAAAATTCCTAGCAACACCCTAGCAACCAACTAGCAACCACCCACAACACCCTAACAACCACCTATCAACACCACAAGGCAACTGCCTAGCAACCACCCTAAACACCCTAGCAACTGCCTAGCAACCACCCAGAACACCCTGGTTAACAACCACCCAGAACACCCAGTAACTATCTAGCAACACTCTAGGAACCACACAGAACAACGTAGCAACACCCTAGCAACCACCATAAACACCCTAGCAACTTCCTAGCAACCAACCAGAACATATTAAAAACCACCCAGCAACACTCTAACAACCAGCTTGTAATCACCCACAACACCCTGGCTAGCAACCACCCAGAACACCCAGTAACCACCTAGCAACTACACTAAACAACCTAGCAACCACCCAGAACACCTTAACAACCACCTAGCACCAACCACCCAGAACACCTTAACAACAACAGACGTCCGTCCGTCTGTCTGTCTATCCAACATAATTGTTGTTCTGATATACTGGGTAGTCTTCAAAACCTTCAAAGTTCAAGCTTTAAACTACTTCAAACGTTCAGTTCAGGCCTTCTCAAGACAATATCATTGTCTTGACAAACTTTGTATCTAGTTTTAAATTGTAAAAATAATTTAAAATATTGCTGTTTTTACTGTACTTTTGACCAAATAAATGCAGCCTTAGTGAGTAGAGATTATAATAAAAATCTACTTTCAAATAGGCTGTCAGTGGAAAAAGATGTAGTTACGCATCTACCAGCATGAGTTAACTAGGCCACGCTAACCATATAAACCTTGACCCATTGCTTTTAACAGCAGCGTTCTTGTGAACAAAACCCCATAGAGTCAACAACACATTACTAAACAAGCTGTGGTTAAATGTTGACAAGCCAAACGCTTCTAGTTACACAGGCCTTACAGTGGAACAAAGGAATGACTTATTCATTATGCCAGGGGCTCGGTTTGATTCCTAATCAAATTTTCAGACATTTGATTTTAATTAATGGCGTCTTAAATGTTAGCTTTCTGTTAAATATTACATGTGATGGGGAACCCCGTCCCATAGGCTTCGAAGACTCTAATGCAAGTTTCTTTTTAGGCCTGTCTGTCTTCTGAAATGAAACCTCAACCGATTACGAACAGATCTGCATTGACTTTCAAACAAAGGAAAAGATCTCCTTAGGTTATGTGGGGGAATAAAAATCCTTATCGCAATCAGATAATTAAATTAATCTGAAAGTATATCGCCTGACTGACACGTATTGACTTCCCCCTGATGAATCATGGCACGCTGACACATAACAGATACCTAAACTCAAAGCTATGTTCAAACAATGTTAGTTTCACAGTGAAAGATTCTCTCTTCAGGCAGATAAGACGAAGCTCTTATCTGAATGTGTTTCTACGAGGGCGAGAGAGAAGAGAGATGGGTGAAGCATCTGTTAGGTATACTGACACGCGCATACCAGATGGGTGTGTATTTCAAAGAGAGATGTGTAGAAAAAAGCTGATTTAGACCTGTGACAGGATGGCAGAAACGCAGAGAGAAGCACTGTGCTCACAAGCCTCAGACTGTGAAACCATGAAGGCAGTCATTGCGACTGCTGTATCACTGAGAGAGATTGAGAGACAGTCAAAGCTAGGCAGTTGCTAGGGTGTTTTGGGTGGTTGCCAGGGTGTTCTGAGAGATTGATACATGGTAGCTTACAAGGTTGAGATTTTATGCTTGTCCCCTACTGACAAACACAATAAAAAAGATTCATTCACTTGTCTCAGAAGAGTTAACTTTTTTCTATTAAAGGATTGTGATCACATTTCGATTTGTTATTATTATTATTATTTGGAATAGTTACTTGAAAAAGAGAAATATATGTTGTTAACAAGAATAACACACAACCTTGGGACAACTTAACATTTAAAAAAGTATTACTTGAAAGAAAGAAAGAAAGAAAGAAAGAAAGAAAGAAAGAAAGAGTTTGCTGACAATCACATGAATCCTCTAAGAGGAGTATTTAAAAGTTAATGTATTTACACAAAATCCAAAATAGCTGACTTCCTATTGAGCAGAGCAAACAAATGTCAATGTAATATTTGATTGGCTCAATGAGAACTATACATAGCCAGACTTCCTTATATATACTTATACCTACCTGTATGTATGTAGGTATGCATGTATGATATATGCAGTTTGTAGCAAGTATCTATGTTTATTTACCACTTTCAGTACTTGAGTCCTAATAATAATAAAATGACCATTTGTTTTGTTATCATGCAAATACAGGAAAAAGACATTAGCATCACAGCTCACAGGTTACAGCTTACTCTCATTAATTTACAACTGCATGTTAACTAACACTCATTAGGGTATTAGTAGACTGCTAGGTCAGGGTTAGGGTTAATAGAATAAGTTGACGTGCTTGCAAAGTTACTTATAGTCAGAAGCATGTCTGTTGGGGACCATCAAAATAAAGTGTTAGCAGATATTAAGCAGACAATAACTAATTCTCTAATGACTGGTAGCTGACATGTACTGTAGTTGCAAAGTTACTTGTAGTTAGTAGAAAGTGGACTATCAAAATAGTGTGTACCCAATCTTTGGACCATTTGTGCAACATAATATTACCATCGTCAAACTACATAGCAAGTACTTCAGCTGGAAATGTTCAGCAGGATGTTGGGACTAAAACGTTGTTATTTCCAAAAAAAAAAATCACCTCACAAGCACATAGTGATTGGAAGGAGAATAGGAGGACAGACAAAATAGAAGATGATGAGAGGTATAATGCGAAAACAAACCTCACAACAAGAGAAATCTAAGTGAAACAGAAATAAAATAAACAAGAGACAATGAGAGAAGGCAAGACAAATTCTGAGAAGGCATAAAGAGCAAAATATATCTTACCACGCGCTGTTTGACGTTGGGTTTCTGCAGGAGCCATTCTATGTCCAGTGTTTGTCCATTCGACTGCCAGAACTGGTGATGACAAGGCAATGTGGCGTTGTCCCCGACAACCCGCTTCATCTCGGTCTGAGCCCCGGCCGAGAGCACACTCAACAACACTATAAAGAAAGACACACACACAACATGTCTATGAGATCACACAATGGTAAATGTCATAAAATGTTAATGCTCTATTGCGTAACACCTATACTAAACTCTAACCTGAACCTAACCGATAGTGTTAACAAAAGCAAATGTGAAATCAAAACATATTTTCCGAAACAACCATGCCCTTTTAGCTGGCTTCTACTAGTCTTTAAGCTATTTTATTGTGACTCGTGTTTCACAGGACTCGCCACTGAGTGCTCCACATCACAAGTCTAATGCTGTACCGGGTGCGCTACTAAGCAAGTTTACTACCGCAAACATATGGAGCTGGTTATGTGATACAAACATCAAAATTTATTTGATTACAAACCATGCACTATGGTAAAAAGTATTTTGAGGTCATAACATAGCATTGTGCAAGAAACCGCACAAAATAAGTGTTTATTAATCGATAATCTGCCCCGTAATCATAATTTGTGTGAAAAGGTATAACAATTAGTATTTTGCTGCTTGTACTTGTAGTTTGTGTTTTACCACTTCTAATGTTGATTTAAAATTGGAATCTGCAGTGAATTTTATGTATAGGTTTTTGGATTTTTTTTTTCCAAAAATGTAGGTAGAGGGACATTTTTTCAATGAGTCTTTGTCTCAAGTCTGCTTTATTGTTTTTCTGTGAAGATTCATTCAGGTGTGATATTCTAATGAAAACAAAATGAGGGGCTAACTGCACCATGCTAACCAACCAAACCTTAAACTCTTAGTTCTGTAATCAAGGCCTTTGGGCAGAGAAAAATGATCTCAAACATCAATATCATATCCCATTATGATCCAGTCAAATCCTGGTGGATAAAAAGTCCCTTTTTGCACGATTTCTCACTGAATGTTTCACATGGGAATACAATTCAGTAGCTAATTGTGTTATGAATGCCATTTCATGTTGTTTTTAAAGTTCTAAACATTAATTTTACAAGTTCAATTTTCGACAATCACAATAAAGTTCCACTACAAGACTGAAATTATCATTCAGTCTAACAAAACACACGGCAGCAACACATCAAAATATTTAAGTACAACTTTGGAAGGTTAGCAAAGTCCCAAAATCCCAGATAGGCACATTTTTCACACTCTTCTGATTTATAAATTTAAAAATGCACCACAAAACAGCAAGTCCACATCAAGTATGCTATTTCAGACAGGGCCTCTATGAGCCCAGAGTTCTGTCTGCCACAGGGATCCTGGCTAATTTACTGTAGACTGCTGGACATTGCCGGAGGCTTGAGTAGCGTTACAGACAGGCGTCGTGGGGATTTGCAGACTACTTAGGTCCCATGAGGGAGGAATAGGATGAGATTCGCAATTTCTTCCACCTGGTGAGAGGAACTTGCAATACAAACAATACAGCATACTTGCAGCTTCACCAGTCTTATATGTGCAAAACCAACAGATATTTCTGGAGCTCTGGCATTAGCATAACATTACACTTAATCTGCTGCCGAATATCGCAAATAGCTGCAGACTCTTCACGTATGCAACTATTGCTAAAATGATGTCAGCATACACATAGGTAGTACTTCTGTAAATATTATGACATTTCCTCATTTTAGCTCTTCAACCCAAGGGAATAGGGAAGGGAATGAGCTTGGGACTGATGGATGTGCTGTTTTAAACGTGTTTTGTTTGGCTGTGCTCATTTGGCAATCATCATGTCATGTTAAGAATGCATGTGCCACGTGTCGCTGGCAAAGCACGGCTCGTGATTAGATGACTGACATGCATGAGTGACTGTCCTCAACCAATGAGACTGAGTCATGATACAGTCAATGGGATGTAATGCATCTTATTTATGGTCCCTGGAGTTCACCAGGGCATGCGACCAGGTGACCGCGACACGTCTTCATCACGATATGCAAACGCAAACTCAAGTGGAGTTTTAAACTAAAGTTTTCTTAACTGGTTGTCAAGATGCAACTGAGCTTTAATGCTATTGTTAATCCAGATTACTTTAGCCTGACACTTCTATCAGCATTTTAGATGCTCAAACTATTTTATTTATTTTTTTGTCAAAATGCAAATCCAAATACTCTTCAGTACATTTTCCAGAGTTGTGGCCCAATGGTGAGCACATAAGCACCAACACATTAGCTAATGCTAATACTAAAGACTTGAGTCTGACACGTTTTTAAACCATTTTAGATGTTCAAACAAACATTTTTAGAGGTTTTTGTATTAATTAAAAGCCAAATATTCTTCAGTACATTGTTTTCCAGAGCTGCCTAACGCATATGAATTAGTATATGAATTCCAATACAAGCTTTAATGTTAAAGCTAATGTGGATGACTTGGCAATTTTGTCAGCTTTTTAAATGTTCAAACAAACATTTTTGAGCTTGTTGTCAGAATGTAAAGCCAAATACTCGTCATTAAATTGTTTTCCAGAGTTGTGGTCTAGCGGTTAGCATATAAGCTCCAAAACATTGCACTTTAATGATAATGCTAATGCGGATAAAATGCTTTGGCAGCGTTTTAGACGTACAGACTAACATTTTTTGTAGTTTTATGTTAAGGTTCAAAGCCACAAACACTTGATGTTTGCCAGATCTGCCCACATTTAACACATGCTCTGAAAGCCTTGATGCTGAAATGAGTGGCTTGAGTTTGAGTCTGGCAAATGATGTTTCCCCATCTCCTGTTTCATCTATCTCTGCTCCTATAAATAAAAATCTATGGTTCTTTTCTACATCATATTGCACCTACACACATAATCCTTCAAACAGTAAGAACTTAATTATCCTAATGTGGAAATGTTGATATATACGTAGTACCTGCACACATTCTGAGGTTTAATGAGAGAACCCAGATGAGATCTGCATGGGTCTCTTCAGGGTACATCCTGAAGTCATTCTCATTAAGGGTGAGTTTCTGATTCAGCTTTATAGTCTCAAAGGGCTCAGTAGGCTGCCGGCAGTGAGAATTAGAGAAATGACAGCGCTGCTATGTCAACTAAAACAATGAGTCAGCAAAAAAGCAGCATGGAGCTCCCCTGCAGTCAGCCCTGCTCATGATTTGTTAATGCATTGCTTGCATCCTCCATCATCTGGTCTGATCTCTGTAGTCAGGTGTGTATATGTGTCCTGTGTGAAACTCTAAAGTTAAGTTGATTTAATTGGGAATGGTACAGCTCAGGAACATAAGAAAAATACAAGTGTTTATGAAAGTGACATTGAAGAGTTAAGAAATGTTGAATTATTTTTACTTAATTTTAAACTAGCTATTTCCTCACTGTCAAAATGCATCCACTTCTGTCTATTAATTACTCCATCAGAGCTTTCTCAAATACCCAGTGAGACTTACAGTAAAAAAATGACAGGTGTTGGTTGATATTTTTATACTCGGCTGTGTGAGGCTCTTTATATCAATATAAAAGACAATTTGATGAAGGATTATGAAAAAAAAAAACTCTAAAAAAACTCTAACTGTAAAAAAATGAAAACAGATAAAAACAAATGAATTCATAATATTTTGATATTATAGACACTGACCGGTAATTGTAACTCCTAGGCAGATAAAAGTGTGACCTTTTCAAATGATATTGTGTTTTATATTTTAAAATATTTAAATAAAGTGTTCATTTGATTTGAACAATTTGTTCTGTCATTTGCTAACTTGAATATGTATTAATATTACATCAGCCAGCACATTGGCATCATTTAAAGAAAAAAAAACTATTTTGGTTGACCATTATTGATGATTTTTTTCCTTATTGTCTGTGTTGAGAAGCAGACACAGTAGTGGTTCATCGGGCCAGATTGGGTCTCCTGGGACATTCTTACTGGTTTAGCTCTGTGCTGATAAATGCCCTTATTCTCTCTCACCCATTTATGAATTCAAAAATATGTGATTAAATCTCTGCTATAACCACCAGTCCTGTCCTCATTGCAGAGAGGTGAGAGGTGTGTCTCTATGCTCAGACCCTGACTGCATATTTCCTTAGACACTTTCTAGCTCAGCTTGCTGAGTCATTCCTTGCCTGCTACCGGTTACGGATGGACATAATGATGTGTTGGAACAAGCTGGCAAGGTATCAAAGAACAGAATGAAAGCTGTTTTAATTTCATCCTCCTTCAAGGAAAGTAAAGCTCAGCTGCAAAAATATCCAGCATACTGCCAGCCAGGTGGTTTAATAGCACTGCTTCACACGTTGGTCTGCTTTATACTTCAGTTCAGGCTGAAAAGAAGAGTGATGTGATTATGGATTTGGAAACTGTGCTTTTCAAGCACACATTTGATGTGTGCTTTATTCTTTACACAGTGCAACAAACAATCAAATTTCAAATGAGATTTCACCAATCACCAATGAACGCATTGTCATCAAGAACATGAATTTTATGTAAAAAGTCTTCAAACTTTGCAGGCACCTTCAGGACATGCTGCTGATGGCATCTACCGAATTTTGTTCCAATATGTCAAACCATTTAAAAAATATTAAACTTTAAGTCAAATTTCAAAATGGCAGACAGATGTTTTGCCTGATCCTGACAAAACCGATATTGACAGATTCATCATGATCCAAGGAATACACATTTTTCTGTTTCAGTGTAAAAATGGTTTGTAATTTAATACATGTTCCTCTTTGTATTTTGAATGATGTATTGGTGCATATGCTCTAACGACAAAAAAAAAAAAAAAATAGTGGTTCCAAGTTGTTAGTTGTTTCCACCACTGAATAAAAACAAAAAAATACATTTTATCTCACAATTCTGACTTTTTTTCTTGCAATTGCAAGTTTACATCTCACAATTCTGGCTTTATTTCTCAGAATTGTGAGCTATAAACTTGCAATTGTATATTAAAAAGTCAGAATTGTGAGATAACATTTATTTTTATATTATTTTAACAATCTGAGAAAAGAAGTCAGAATTATGAGAAGAAAATCAGAATTGTGAGAAAAAAATGTTCAGAATTATATCTCGCAATTCTGATTTTATTTCACACAATTATGAGTTTATATCAC